TTTTTTTTTTTTTGCCATTTTCCCATTTTTTTTCTGTCCTCTCCATCCCATCTGTTCTCTCTTCTCTCTCTCCCCCAGACTGACCCCTGCTGGCAGACTTCAAGGAGTAAGCCCATAGGGCGTTTTTATTCCCGGAGTAAGTCCTAGCTGGTCTTTGACCCTTGCACCTCCTGGCCTTGTCCTCGAGGTGGGCTCCATGCTCATGGAGGACCACCTGGGCTGCTGTCAGGACCACCTCAGGGAGTGTCATCCGTTGGGACCACGGCAGGCCTGGTTCCCCACAGAACCAGTCCCAATCTAGAAGGATCGGTCTTTGGAACCCAGGCATTGACCTTCTGAAGGTCCTGCCACAGCCCACTGGGCAGAAGGCTGCAGGGTCCTTGGGATGCAGGGACCACAGATCCTACTTGTAGCTCCCCACACTGGGGAAATAAAGCCATTTGAGAGGAGTAGAGTCTGCTGCTTGATTCTTGGGGAAATGATGAGTGTGTACCATTTGCTGGGCCAGGGCCAGGTTTGGGGTCATTGAAAAGTTTGTTGCTGTATTTTAGATAATTCCGGGTCTGTTCCCCCATCCCAGGTCCACTGTTGCTGTCTGATTTAGGCCCAGCATCTCTCTCTCTCTCTCTCTTTTTTTAATGTTTATTTTTGAGAGAGAAAGAATGCAAGCAGGGGAGAGGCAGATAGAGGATCTGAAGCGGGCTCTGTGCTGACAGCAGAGAGCCCATTGTGGGGCTTGAACTCACAAACCGTGAGGTCATGACCTGAGCCGAAATCGGACACTTAGCTGACTGAACCACCCAGGTGCCCCCAGGCCCAGCACATCTTGGCACTATTTTGTTGGTTTTCACTTTGGTGGGACAAAAACCCCCAACCATCTGCACCCCCTTGGTTTTTCCTTTCCAGTGGAAAAAGAACTCAGTGATAATAAGCAAATTATTTCCTGGAGAGGGGGTGGGTGGGTGCTGCGTACATCTGCTTTGGCAAGAGGGGAACAGATGATGCAAATTTGAGAAGCTCACTGCAGAAACGTCTTTAAAGAGTCTAATTAGTGGGAAATTGCAGGCCACGCACACATGGAATTGAGGCAAATATGCGTCATTATACATGCAGTTTAACTAAACAACCCATAACAACCTAAACTGGTAATGACAAGACTGAACTGACAGCAGTTATTAAATAGCAAGAAAACCACCAACAACCATCGCATCCAAAAATCAAAACCAAAACATCCTTCCTCCAAATTGGAAGAATTCCAACTATCTGCCACCTTCGTGTGCAGAATAGCTTTGAAATATTGCCAAGTGTTGTGTGGCAACCAGATTTCTCCGGAAGATGCTGAATTCTCACTAGCCCAAGTAGTAATAATATAAACGATGGTGGCAATATTAATACAGCACTGTTTGAAATTTTTAAATTTTCTAATTGCTTATTGCTGGTCTGCAGAAATACTGCTGATTTATTTTGTTCATTGATGTATTCTATGACTTTGCTAAATTCACTAGTATAATTTTCGCAGGTTCTTTGGGATTTTCTTTTTTTCTTAATTTGTAAAAAAATTTAATTTTTTTAATGTTTATTTTAGAAAGGAAGAGAGAGAAAAAGCGAGTGAGCAGGGGAGGGGCAGAGAGAGAGGGAGACACAGAATCCGAAGCAGTCTCCAGGCTCTGAGCTGTCAGCACAGAGCCCGATGGATGTGGGGCTCAAACTCACAAACCGGGAGATTATGACCTGAGTCGAAGTCAGACACTTAAACGACTGAGCCACCAGACGTCCCCTATCCCCCCAAATTTTTTAAATTTTTTTTTTCAACGTTTATTTATTTTGGGACAGAGAGAGAGCATGAACGGGGGAGGGGCAGAGAGAGAGGGAGACACAGAATCTGAAACGGGCTCCAGGCTCTGAGCCATCAGCCCAGAGCCTGACGCGGGGCTCGAACTCATGGACCGCAAGATCGTGACCTGGCTGAAGTCGGACGCTTAACCGACTGCGCCACCCAGGCACCCCCCCCCCCAAATTTTTTATTAGACAGTGAACACGAGCAGGGGAAGGGCACAGAGATTTTTTTTCCAGTTTATTATTTATCCAGTTCCAGAAGTGTTCACTCCAAACAGGAACCTTGTACCCATGAAGAACTCACCGCTCATTCTTTTCCCCAGCTCCCGGCAACCACCATTCTGCTATCGCTTAGATTTGCCTATCCTGGATATTTCATACACATTGAATCAGAACATATGAGGTCCCCTGTGTTTGACTTGTTTCACTTAGCACAGTGTTTTCTAGGTTCATCGGTGTTGTATCAGAATTTCGTGCCTTCCTGTGACTGAATAACATCCACGGTGTGGACTTACCACTTTTGTCCATTCATCCGTTGATGGACATTTGGATGGTTTCTACTTTTTGATGATTGTGAATAATACTGCTATGAACGTTCACGTACAAGGTTTTGTTTTTGTTTTGTTTTTTGAACAGTGTCTTCAGTTCCTTTGGGTGTGTGCCTAGAGTGGAATTGCTGATATTTCTATGTTTAACTTTTTGGGGAACTGCCAAGCTGATTTTCACGGTGGCTGCAACATTTCACATTCCCACCAGCCATGCCTGAGGTTCCGATTTCTTCAGATCCACACTGACACTTGGGACTTTCCATTTTCTTTGGTTATGGATATTCTGGTGGGTGTGAAGTGGTATCTCATTGTAGGCTTGATTTGCGTTCCCCTGATGATTAATGATGCTGACCTTCTTCACCTGCGCTTGTCGGCCCTTGGTGCATCTTTGGAAGGAATGACTGTTAGCAATGAGCTCCACCACTTTCGTTGCGTTGCCTGCCACCCAATCACAGTTAACTAGGAATAGGTGGGTTTTAAATGAAGACAAAAAGAAGGCCCCGTGACCCAAGTCATCACCTGAGGACTATGTGGGCTCAGACATTTCGTAGTTCAGGAAAGACGAGTGGTTGGTCCTCAAGCCTCCAACAAGGATCAGCCTTTTGCGGCTCTTGTATAGCTCACAGGTGGAGATTTTGCTGAAGCTCCTTGGTCCGTGTTCCCCAAGGAGAAAAACCTGAATTCAACTGATGAGGCACACTGGGGGAAAGTAAGCTGAAGTGACTGTTGGGTAGGGGCCCTGCGGCCAGTTCAACGTGCTGTTAGGGCTTCTACTAGTACATGTTTCTCCGGTCCGTACTGTGAATGTCCTGTTGTCAGGGGATTCTTCCGTCCAGAGACTGGAGCACGTGCGGTCGTCTCCAGGGCGGTCTACAGAAATTGCAGGAATCCCAAAAGGAGAAAGGGGAATCCCGGTTTTCCTGTCCTCACGCCTGCCGCGGCCCTCAGGGAGGCCATTTCCCAGCACAACAGCGCCACCTGCTGACACAACCTCCACGAACGCACCTTTTAGGAAAAGGCGGCTGTTCCCGCTTTGCTGTGAAACACTCCTTGAAAGAGGAGGCCCTGCCCCTGGAGGCGTTGTGACTCTCTAGCCTTACGTCTTCGTTTTGGGGTAGGTCAACTAACTGGTAGTATCCACTGGGGTGCGGCAGCCACCCAACCCCAAAGCCAACCCGGGAAGACAGACTGAAATGTATAGTTAAGGTATTGGATGAGACTTTCTCTTTTCCCAACCCTCCACAAGCATCTGGTATTATTGGAACGATTTCCTCAAAAATCAGTTCAGAATATATTTCGGACTACCTTCCTCGCGTTCTCCTGGTCCACACACCTTAGGTAGGCGGTTTGGTCCCTGAATGTGCGTGTTTCCGGAGAGGCTTCATCTCTTCCAGGCTGTCTCCTGGATAATGGCTGAGGCTGAAGGGGTGGGGGAGTTACAAAGACTTATTCTGAAAATTAAGGATTCTGGTTCCTGACCATTCTTGGGTCATCTTTCTGCTGGACAGCCTGGTGGTTCCAACCCTCTGGATGACAGCCTAGCCCAAAGCGGGCCAACTAGGGAGTTCAAACTAAATTCTGGTTTAGCCACCAGCATTTTCTTGTTGGCCTGACATGGCCCTAGATCAGAGGTTGGCAAACTACGGCCTGTTATCTCTGGCCCTTGAGCTAGGACTGATTTTTTTTTTAACCTTTTTAAAAGTTATAAAAAGGGGCGCCTGGGTGGCGCAGTCGGTTAAGCGTCCGA